TTTTTTAAACAGAAAAAACTTGTTATAAGAACCTGCCATAACTGAATTTGAATGATGAATTCTTTTGGACTGTATGTCCTGTATAAAGAACTGCTTATGGGTTTGGGGTTTTCTTGTGTTGCCTAGCTCCCTTTTGAGTTTAAAGAGGAGTCTCATGTACTAGAACTAAAAAATTAATTTCTCTAAACCAGAACTTACTCATTTGCGTATTGGCAAGGAAATTACTACTGCTGTCGTAAGTGCAGGGTTGCGTTGCTTTGTGGACTACTACTTTAATGTTTCTTCCCTACAACTCAAGTTTAGTTTTCTAAGACTGTCCTTCATTATTTAGTCTATATGCATAATTAGGTCTTATATTTATACTGTAAATTCATAAAGCATTGCAAATGTTGCTCAAAGCAAAAGTAAAGCAACTTCATTTCCTTTGTACTCTGCCTTGATTTTGTAAATACAACAAATACGTGCAGATCCATCAGTAGACTTCTCTTTGTAAAAAGAGAGGCATAGTATTATTCGGTCTGTATCTTCTCTAAAGGAACCAGCCAGATGGTATATAAGCTTAAAATAGTTGAGAAGGAAGAAGTTGGATTTCCACAGAAGTGTTTTCCAAGGGCAATCAGACACCTGCTTGTAAACATGTGAGTGCAAACGTACTATTTCGTGGACCATTCCACCATAGCATTGTACACTTGTGCTGGAGTAATCACGGTACAGCCGCAAGCAGATCGCTCATGATAGGAAAGATCTTACCTAAATTCGTTAGGCTGTTGTGATCAAATCATCTAAAGGACGCTGGGTAACAGGCTAGATCGCACTCTACTTTTCTTCCATCTTGTTTTTCGTAAACTAATCTGAAAGATACGTGGGGTGGTTAACAGTAAGAGTTTGGTATCACCATTTTTCGTAACTCCTTTGGTGCAGCTGAAGCTCACTGAGGATGACTCTCTGGCCCTTTACAGAAGGGGCTATGACTGAGGGTTATTTCCTTACAGAGGGCTCCTTGGCAGCGTTTAAAATAGAGATACTTGCTTCTAATACTGAGAAATACGTATATATCCGTGAAACAGAGGGGAGAGCAGTGTTTGGGCTGGATGGTGTGTGGCAGGCCTAGACGAAATGCGCACTACAGGCCCAGCTGCAGTTGAGTCTTTCCCTCGATCTGCTCTTTTTTCCTGCCTGTGTCACTTCCTTCCCTTGGCTCACACACGCACCCATAGCAGAGCTCGGAGCTCCCGGCTTTAGCCGCAGTGACACCCCCGGTGTGCTGTGGGGGAGGGGAGCGGGGCTGAGCCTACAGGTTAGGACCAGCTTAAATCCCAACCTTTTAATTTAATTTGTGGGTGAGAAGAGGTACCCCAAATATATACCACATGAATCGGGTTCGTAGGGAAGCCCTGATTTTTCTTTTAAGTCTACAATCCAGGTCACTTGCAATTTCCTAAGAATTACGCAGAACAGCATTTTCTTTATCACTAAGACTGTCGCAGAATACCCAGTGTTTCGTTTGATGGCATGTTGTGAAGGACTCAAAATTAAACTTTTTCAAAAACTTTTTTCAGAACTTTAACATAAACTCAGTTTGCCTGCCTCACTTGTGAAATTTACTCATTGCCCTGGGATCTGCTGATCATTTGTACAAGCAATCAGTTTTGCTGTTGTAGTGGTAGATAACAAACACACACTTATTTGTTCACTTTTTTCTTTTTTAAACAAATGTGGCATCATGCCTTCTATTATCATGCTATATAAAATAGCATCCTGGTTTATAGGGGTTTACAGACTTCCTGTTTTTACCAATGTGCAGATGCTTTTACTCTGTTTGAACTTTGTGATTTTTTTCAAAACTGTTTCCATTTCTGCCACAGAAAATACACTGACTTGCTCAGACCTGTGTAATAAACCACATATTAGTTGAAGTAAATGCTTTATGCAGAGTAATAGCTTTCTCTGTGAGTAGCAGTTCCCTTTTATCGATGTTATAAAAATCCTTGAGTGTAGTTTTTAAAACACGAAAAGCATTTCCTGGACAACATCTTTCCCGCACAAAGCAGAACTGTGTTTCCCAGACCTACTGGAGACCTAGCAAAACAGGGTCTCTCAGTGCGCTTCGAAAATTGCTTAGTTTTCATTTGTAATAACTTTTGCATTGTGTGATTAATGTGATGCTGCTGCACGTGCTTCTTTAAAGTCAATCTATGGAAATCCTCTATTTTGATGGAAATAAAGAAGTATTCATGCTTCTCAACATTAAATCCATCACAATGCTATCCTAACTGGAAACATATTTTCCCTACGCAAACTCGGATCAATGTGTGACATTTATTTTGTTTTAAAAAGATAAATACTCCATCGTTTCCTACCTCACCAACATAGGGATGAATTACAGAATGTATGTTTTGGAACTAGGGAGCCAATAGCTCAGTGTAAGGCTGTTAAAACATGTATAATCACGCCAGATTCAAATTCACCTGAAGTTGTTCCATCAGGCTTTGATAGTACATTAAGTGTTCCTTTTTGCATGGATGCAAGTAAGGTTTCAGCATTAGCACTTGACTACAGAGGAAACTGAGTTTACAATGAGTGAGATACAGGCCTTGCAGTGCACTAGCTGGGGTTTAGATGCTTGCCAGATGCTGCTCTTAAGAATTTCATGTCTTAGCATATTGTAAATTGACAAGTTGCCTTAGCTAATAAACAAATTCACTATGTAGCTGAGCTACAATCTTTATTAAGAGATACGTAATTGGTTAGATGCCTGTCCTCTTTGCCCACTTCCTCATACAAATGAGATGCTGTAGACCAGCTGACTTTATACACAGCCTGGGCTTTGGGATCAAACACCTGTAGCTGATGGTTGCATTGTAATTGTTGATCTTTCTTTTCAAGGGATGTGTCATACTGTTTAGATGGGAATTCTTATTTGTAAACATATTCTTGATTGACTTGATTTCTTGTCAGGAGTGCTTAGTTATAAACTGCTTTCATAGCTGTTTTGCTTCTTGCCCAAAGGAACTCTGCCAAGACAAGCTCTTCTTCATCCTCCTGGTATCTGGCCAAACCCAAACTGCACTGTAGTGGAAAACTTGTATCCCAGCTCTTCACAGCATGTTTTGGGTGGTAGGCGCTCCAGGGGTATGCCAGTCCATAATTTCTAATATTTTGTTGTGCAAAGTTATAGTCTTTGTCTGCCAGGTGACTCAAAGGCTATGCTTAATATCAAACAAGATTAAAGAATAAGAGTAAATTGGAGACATTCCAGTAAGGTAAAAGGTTAAACGTTCAAATGTAAAGTTGGAAACAATTTGGGGGTGGGGGAAGTTGTGCTGTTAGCTACCTGGAACTTTAACTTCATTCACAACTGTTTTTTCACATTTTCTTCCCACAAGGGGTTACTTAGTGCTGAGATAGATCCTAGCAATTATTTCCTTTGGCTGATGTGCTTTTCAAAAAAGCAACCTCTTGCTTTGGTTGTGTTACTTATACCCCTTGCTTCTTTTGCATGCAGTTGGAATTTCAAGGAGTACTCTCCCTTCTCCACTACCACAATGTAGTTATTGTCTCATTTGGCTTGTCTTGGACAGCAGAGATTTGGTGGGTTTTGATTTTGTTTTTTTTAAGTAACTTTATTTTCTCTGTTCTGCTTTCCTTTTTTAAGAGTTTTACTCTAACACCTTCTGCAAATGCATTGGGACATGTCTTTCCATTCCCCCCTGTCGCCTGGCCTAGGCTTGATGTTTCTGTTTTTCTGGTAGTACATAGTGAAGACCATACTGGAAGTACCTCTGCTCTAGTGTTTAGTACTCAGAAAGTTAAAACAGACCTTCTGGGCAGAAACTATTGGTTGTACCGTTAGTGTGACTGTTGTTCTGACAGGGACTTTTTTAGATGTTGCCGCCTTACAAACAGGTATAATTTTCCCCCTTTTCACTTGTAAATTTTGGTGGTGTTCACACCCTGCATGCTTTAGAAGCTGTATGTGTCCTACAGCTGTCATCTTTTAAGCATTGCGAAAATCTAGTTTGTTATTCAGACATTGATTAATTATGAACCCAGTCTTCTGCATAAAACATAAACATAAGCTTCATTGAGAGACACTCATGAACAAATGCATAACATGAAATTGAAGAAACAAATAGTCCCAATGAGTCCCCTTTACAGAGAAATACAGATGCAAGACAGTCCGTCATTTAATGTACAGCAACTGTTCCCAGAACAACGCTTCCAAATGGTAAGCCATTACCTATCCAAACCAGTCTCATAAGTCAGAAACAAATGTGTAGCTATGCTGGATTTTTAAAATCAAGTTTTAGTTATTCACAGATCAGCCTCAAAAATGCTCATTTTGATTTAAGTGTGTCAAACTGATACATTTAAGGACTTTGGGAAGACAGGAGGACTCTAGCATATCAAGCACTGCACACCTGACACTGTCATACAAGGAGGGATGAGATAACCTTATCTATGGATTTACTGGTTCACATTGCTTCCAAAAGTTCCAGCTGTCAAAAAAAGAAAAAAAAAAAATTGCATCCAAACTGGTGGTCAAATCAAACCAGACTCATTTAGAAGATTCCTCTTCTGGGCATGTTCACAGCTGATCTAATCTCTGGTTCAAATTTCATGCCTAAATTATGCCTCAATATCAGGAAGGATTTAACTGGACATATTATTTGCCAAGGAAACAACACTTTATCCCTAAAAACTCTGGAGTCTGGATATGTGAGGCAGCAGCCCAGCAATACAGTAGGCATGAGTGTGCCAATAGCAGATCCTCTGAGTGACAGCATCTGATGCTGCTTTGTTACGTTGGTGGCACAGCGCCTAGGAGCAAAGCAGCTAGCACAGTCCCATTTTGAACCAAACCTCACATGTCATCATCTTCTACCATTTGCAGTATCGAGGAATTTAGGATTGTTATGCTTGCAAAAGCAAAGGATTCTTTTCAGTAGCTTTTAGACACCTTATTTTATGGTAGCGTCCATCACAGCCCAGCTACTATGCATTTCTGTCCTTTTTTGTCTTTATTTTTCTCTAGGCTTCATACAAAATTCAGCTAAATATTGCTTCTTTCCGCAAAACTAACAAGCAATGGAAGAACACTTTAAATTGATTACATCAAGAATCTTAGCTTCAGAAAGCAATTTTCAGTCCGTAGTATGTATAAGAAGTATTTCAATGTGTGCTTTTTCTTTTCCTGCATTTGCAAGAAGCCTTGAATTGAACCTGCTGTATTATACGCTGCCAGCAGACAGTGTTCTTAATGCTGTGCGATTTGAATCTGTTCAGTAGATCTTGAAGCCTCATAAAATGGTTTGAACTTTGTTCCATCAGCTTGTTTTGGGGAAAGAGAGGAATGTGTTGGGGAAATAAGTGCCTTTGAATTCAGAGATATTCTAAGATGACTCTTTGTCCAGATTTTCATTTTTCTTTCTACTGGCTGTGGTTTGTTCCGCTAGCAAGCAAGAATTCTAAGTTAACAGGATATAAAATTGGAAAGAACAGATTTTTACTGGGTTTTCCTTGGCAGAAACACATCAGTTTGGCCTTTCTAAATGACCTGTGATGATCTAGCAAATCTGTCCCAAGTTGTGCTGTTTGTTGTGAAGCAATTTGAACAGAACCAGGGGCTGGGGATATTTATTCTGAACCTTACTGTGGCCAAATCATTCTGTAACATTGGACAATGAGTTAAAATTTATCTGTCTATTTACTACTTCATGATAGTAGGTTGAGTTTGGGCTTTTTATGACTAAAAGAAATTACAGTGTATTTGCAAAGATCCTAAAATGAATTGTCTTTCTATGAGCCAGCAAAAAACAAGTACGGAAGTGTTACAGTTGAAATTCACCCAGGAAACTTACTACTAAAATTCTTGTGCATCGCAGATGAACAAGAGGCCTTGAAATCCATCATGAAGGACCTGGTAGCACTCCAGATGAGCCGACGTCACAGACTGACTGGATATGATACCATGAAGAATAAAGACACTGCTCACTCCAACAAACAGGTAATAGGCCATTTAGTGAGTACTTGAAATCATTACCTGGAGGTGGAAGAGACAGAGTAGGTTGACGGTGGGTCTGCTGCCTCTGTTCTGTCTTGTGCTTCTGACTGCTGAAGCATCACAGATGGATTAGCTCCCTGTTCTTGCTTAGGCTGTGTTGCCAACATGGTAGGTTTTTTATTTACTTACCTTTATGGACTAGGGAGGATGCAGTTTTGATAATTTGCAACATTTTAGTATTCTGCCTTCCTCCCACATGTGTTTTTGATGGGGTTTGGTGTGTAGATTAGCTAAAAAGTTTACCAAGTGGTTTTCTGGTTTCACAGTTGTGTTGCCTTTTTTTAAATGACTTTATTATTTTTAAAGAAAAAACACAATGCCAGCAGTCCACCCCTCTTGGGCAGCCCTGCAATAACAAACCAGTGTGCCTCTGCAGTGGAAGACAAAAAAATTCCGGTAAGAAACCTGGCTTCCTATTCAATATTAGCAATTATAAATTAGGAGCATGTTTTAAAGTTGTGTGCAGTGACCTTTATAGAATTCATTTAAGCAGGTGTTGGAGGCCAGGAAAGCTTTTCTTTACTGACTTTGTCATGGTGTAGTGGTATGATGCACTTTTCATTGTAGTGGAAATAGTACTTAAATTCAAAGCAGGGAACTAAGAAGCATAATGATGAAAAGGAAACAAGTATTTCCATTTCTGATGCAAAAGGAGGCCACTTCAGTTTAAAGCTGCATAAAGCAGTCTGTCTGATAATGAACTAATGCTGGTTTCACCTTCACATGATTCAGACTGCATATGAATACAGAGTGAAGATCCTGATAAAAGGTAGTCAAATTGAAGTCAATCCAAGAACAGTGAAGGGGATTGTCTGAAAGGACTGGCTTTAGTGAAACTGTAATAAACCTTGCTTCAGTGAAAAAGGAAACAGCTATTTGCAGGTGTCTGAATAGAGGCAACGTCCTTAGCGGGGAGGATTATCTGGAGTTACCCGGTCCTATGTCACATGAAGATGGGAATGAAACTAATCCTCATTTGGGTATGGGGATGTGAAGTCCATTTTTCCAACAGAAATACTTTTCCCAAGGTAATAAAGTGGCAGGGTCAGTACTTTAAAGTCTCTCTAGGTTCGTTCAGTATTGCTAGAGACTCTTTTTCATAGAGAAAACTACTGCATTGACTTCCTAGTAGAAAGGACAGAATAATATTGCTCTGTCAGTATATGCTGCATGTCATTTTAATGAAATACTTCAATGCAAAAGCAACAATTTCAGTGAAGAATTGTTTGTCCATTACTGTCTTAAAAAATTAAATCAAGTGGCTAGCAGTTAAACTAACATTAACAGGACAAGTTGCCTATATCAGTAAAATAACTCTTTGTGGTTATATTCCTATTACAGGCTTAAGCTTTTTGCAGCAGGCTTTAAAGTTCATGCCTGTCTCTTCCTTATGCTTTGTCTGCTCATAATCTACTTGTTCAGCTGGGATCTGGGATTTCCTCGAATGTGCTGACAAATCCGTAGATGGAGTAGTACGAAATCCTTTCCAAATCACTTTGAAACGTAAATTCAGGGATGTCTTAAACCAAAATCTGTAATCGTTATTTATGATGCTGCATCACAGAACTGGAACGCTAAAGTACTAAACTTGGATTTGATTTCTTACTCATCTCTTAGGACAGTTTATGCAAGTTGCTTTAAAAAGTGTTTTATATAGGTGATAGGTTTGCTGCTTTCAAAGGAAACAAAAACCACTAGATGTTTAACTCCTTTAGGTTCTCTCTGAAATCTAAACACCAAGATCACTTTGAATACCTTTTCTTACATCTTTGAAAAATAGACGCAAATGGCCAGTGTTTGATCCTTTTGGAAAAGTCATCAGGAGGAGCCAAATTTCCCTCCCCCCGCCTTCCCTTTGTTACAGGTTTGAAAGCATGCAGTGGAGTTGAGAAAGATACTGTAGTTTGCTTAGGTACCAGCAAGTTTAAGAAGGGTTTCCACAGAGCCCTGAAGATCTTTGTGTTTTCTAATTTTAACTAACAAGAGCTTTGTCCCTTAGCTGTTTCATGACCTAAAACACATCTTGAGGTCAGAAATTTAATCTGAAAAATTAAGTTCATCCAAACAGTCCTATTTGTTTCCCTTAGACAGGGCTATTTATAATAGTATAGCATTAAAAAAAAAATCCAGAGCCTTCCTTCCCTGAAAATCCTAATGTAAAAGAATCATTTCTCCATCCATTATGTCTAAGAAACAGCTCTTTCATCAGTAGTTGGCTGGTAGACATCTTTTAAAGTTTATTATTCCTGTGCTGTTTGTTGCATTTTTCCTTTACTGTTCAATTAAAATGAGCTCTCTAGAATTTGCTTAATTTGGGTTTTTTTTCTAGAGTAAGTTCTTTCTCTTCCCACATCTGAGAAAATGCCTTTGGTAAAGTTACGTGTAAATTACTGACCTGCAGATGATCATTGCTCTGATTGGGAAGCTCATTTGTCATGATCAATTCTGTACCTGCAGTATTGCTGCAGGAATACTGTGTACTGGCAGTGATTGCATGGGTCCCTTTGAACTGCATTCTTGACCACTAGGCCTGCCAGATACTTCCTCTAGCTAAAGAGCATTTCCTGGCCACGTTTTTTTGAAGTTCCTAGATGTATGATTGCCTATTGTCTAAGGCTTTCACAGATGGCTTAATCTATTCCAATCACATAAATTGTGCAGCAGAAATTATGGAGTCTTATCAGAGCAGATTTTTTCCCTTTTATTTTTATCTTTGTGACCTAAATTGGGATTTGAACTTTGATCTCCAGAGTTGAAAGTTCAGCATGTTGACTCTTCCATGCCACATAACATCTTCTGAGTTTACAGTGAAATGCACAGGTTGCGTGGTCAGTGCTTTCAGCCATCTGCCAGATACGGATGATGATCCCTTTGCACTTTGAAAGATGACACATAGTTAACTGCTTTGTAATTTCATAGTTTGAGTTTCAGGGGCTGCATTTTTGCAAAAGTGGAGATTTAGTCTGTGTCTTAAAAATAAAGAATGTAGCATATTCCCTGTATCGCTCTCTTTTTTGCCATAGAAGAAAACATGCTTGCTTTGAGAACGCACAAAGAAAATTAGCTTCAGTTCAGATGAATATGCAGTTGGACTCAGTTTCAGATTTCTGCCATGCAGTGTTAAAGATGGATTAATTTTCCTTAAGCTATATTTCAGTGTCCTCTGTTTAAGTGACAGTTAATAAAAATTACAACTTAGTTTTTACCCCTTTCCTTATCTTTCTCCTTCAGCAACTTCTCCATTCCTCATGGTGCTGTGTTCACATCAGCCACTTGTTGTCCACAGGCTGCTTGAGCTTCCATGGAGAAAGTTATCAGACTTATGTTCTGGTTAGCCTTTTGAGGAGTTGATGCCTGCTGCAATCACAAATTGACCTGCTTTGTGTTTGGGCCTTAAAATCATTATATGATCCATTTGTGTGCTTTTTATGTATGCTGGACTTGCATTGTGAACTAACCTTTTGTTCTTTCTTCTGCAGAATGATGTAAGGATAAAGTTTGAACATAACGGCGAAAGACGGTAAGTCTGTCTTCACTACTTTGATTCTTTGCTTAGTAGAATAACTTAGTCATTAGTAAATTAGTTTAAATATTTTGTTAGCTTCACTTTCCTTGTTCCTGAACGAAAAACACACAGTAAAGGCAACAGCAAACAGGTCATACACAACTTGGTTATTTTTAAAAATCAGTGTGGCTTATAACACTTTGCTTTATTTTCGTAGTATCTATTTGTAAGTGAATTGCAGTAATATTAAAAAAGCCGCCAGCCTGAAATAAATTCAACCTGATAGTCTTATTTCAGATATGTTCCCTATTTGTTTCATTTAACTGAAACCAAATGAAACTGATCAAATTAGTGTCATTCTTTTCTAGTTTCTCACTTCCTGATGACCTATCACTATCACTGTCCTGCTGTGACTGAGCAACAGATACAGCAAGGGGAGATTTTTTTTTATTGGTCTAAAAGTTTCCTTGTCATTTCCTTTGATACTTAGTTTGAGACACTTTCTTTTACAAAAAACAGAATTAACTGAATTAGCATTTTCAGTGCTTATAGTATTGTTTCTAATGGATAAAATTGCCTAGACGTTTCAAAGTAGGTTTCAAAGCCCCTTATCTGCCATCAAGCAGGCGTTCTTTGCTGATAAAGCAGATGGCAGAGGATAATTTGTAAAGTCTTCCTCAAATATTGAACTGTTTCATTCACCAAAGTACTACGTGGTGAATTCTGTCGCTAAAAATACTGACTTTTGAGCTTTGAGGAGAAAATTTAAAAGTAATCATAGCTGGTATCTACTGCTGCCTTTGTCAGCCAGATCTTCTCAGCACTCTACTGTGTCACAGGTATTATGTGGACTACAACAGAGCCACTGTGTGACATGTCACAATTTCTTGTGATACCATGTCAGGACAAGGTAACTCGGAAGCAAAATCTTGTCACCACAGTCCTATCATCTTGCATGTCTTCTGCCTGAGTGCATTTAAGATGGCACAGAGCTCAGGGGAGAAGAAAGCTTTTTTTTTCTGAAGTAACCTTAAAATGAAAAGGTTGATTGTGTGTTAGTCTAATTATGCAGTTACGCTTGCCTGAATTCCCCATTCCCAAAGTGGTATGCAGTTACAGACAGCAAGCTTGCACTGAGAATGTGTGTGTGTGTGCTTGGTTTCAGAGGAGCTGCCAGATCTAACCACAAATATTTAAGGTGGTCAGGCAGGAATGGGCTCCTTAAGCCCTGCAGTCCATGATTTTGTGTTAGAAGAGTGCACAGTTTTTAAACTAATAGAATTTGTGGCACCTGAGAACAGCTCTGCTTTTTAATGCATTGAGTGTAGAATGGAAGCCTTTATAAGGGACTTCGGCTCAACTGAGAGCTAAATTACGTTTGTATGGTGCCAGAGTACTGTAATTTCATGGATGGGTTTCTTAGTAATATGTAGAAAATGTTATTGTGGGCTGCTTTTTAACAAGGACAATTATTTCTAAATAGCTGAACGTTGTAGGTCTGGTAGCAAGATGAACCTTTCCTGGGAAGGGGCTAAAGAAGCCAACTAGCGCTAGAGCTATTTAAAACAAAAGCTGCATATCGTGAAAGGATACTGAGTGCTGGTGAAGCAGCCTGGATGGACATTTTGGAAACTAAGTCCTCTATCCAAAGCATGGGTTCAGCAAAAACTCATGTGAGTTTCCCCAGAGGTGATTCAGGGTTTCACTGAGCTCAGAGAGTTACCCCTGTAAGCAAGATGGGTCTTGATTTTCTGTGGTCCATTCAGGTCTTCCAATTTCTGCCTGATGGCAAAATTGTTAAGTGGTGCTAATAATCATGCTTTTTGTGGCAGTATTTCAGCTATGCCAAAGCAGAGTTGTTTCAGATTGCAGTGGCGGGGTAAGCAGCTATCAAAGTGGTCTAATAGCTTGCAGAAGGATGGTGGCTGTCAGCTGTTTGTTTAACTTGACGGTACTGGAGACGCAGTGTGGTCTCGTGGCCCATGGAAGCAGATGGCGAGAAGTCTGGTTGCAGGAGCCCAAAGGCAGGAACAACCAACCATCTGGGCCTTGTGCAGCAGAGAGATGAAAAGCAGGTTTCTGAGCAGTAGATGTCCTTGGTTTGCTAGAATAGTGGGTTGTAAACTGTAGTTCACATCTGAATCCTCCAGTTCTTGACCCAAGATATTTTACTCCCTGATTTTTCTCAAGAGGGTGAAAATAGTCCTTTTCCACACCTATCAAGGTAGCGACTTTCTGAGTACTTGGCAACTTCCTACAGAAGAACATTCCAGCAAAATAAACAGTTTTAGATGCTTTGCTGGAACTTCATATGACTACTTTGCCTAAAACATTAGAGTTTCTATTCCAAGGTAGGCTAAACAGTAATAAAACCAAACAAAAGTATACTGTCATTTTCTGAAAAGCATGCATGTGCCATGGGATTCTGCAGGGTTCCCCTAGGATGGCCGTGCCTGTTGCCATTTTGGATTTCTTAAGGCCGTTTGTGTATGTGAGTCTGAAACTCCTCCCATTCAACTGGCGAGGAGATGGCTGAGTGCTAGAACTGGGGGTTTAGTGTGTCACAAGGTCTGGGCTCAGGTAAAGTGATCAGAATAATTTACATTTGTGCGTATTTTGTGTGTCAGTCAGTGAAGGTGCCCAGAGATGCATTAGATATGAAAAATACTTGTGAGGGAGGAAGCATTAGAGTGTGAGACTGATCTGTCTTATATGAATATTCTGTCTTGGATATCTGCCTTCCGTGAATATTCTGAATTATTGCAAGTCAGCTCTGCCACTGCCATTGCAGCTGAAGACTATTTAAGTTTTGATCTATTTGGCCTCTGTAATTAAAAAAAAAAAAGCAAATTTTTTAAATAAAGCAAGCCGTGAGTGACAAATGGTTGCACAGTTATAGTTAGATTTGACTTCAACTCTTGAGAAAAAGCCCCTGCTGCGTTGCAGAGGATTTGAAGGATAACTGCGGAGACAGTGTAGTGAGTCTGTGATTCAGATGTTTGGAGATGTTTGAGTTAGGCATGCAGAGGGCTAATGTGGAGCTAACGTCACAGACCACCTTTGGGAAAGGGGGTTTTAAGATTCCATTGTGTCCTCCTGCTGATGCTTTCCCTCAGTTGGTCAGGGCTAACTTTGCTGTGGGAATGTTTGTTGAAACCTTTCAACTGGAACGCGTTTTGGAAATTTTTAGGGAGTGAGTTTTGACTTCAGATACTGGAGTACTTAAACCAAATACTTTTTTGTTCTTTGGGCCTTCTGCAGCTTTTAATTCAACTCTCACTGGATGTATTTGTTTGTATTTTGTGCCTGAGGCAGTATTCTTTAAGCCAAAGTGCATAGGAGATTTGTATCCTGTAATGTGAAAGACATTCATTCAGTAAAGGATACTTTTCTCTCCAGGGACAAAGGCATTCTATTTGAAATATTCATTGAATATTGCATTTTGACAAACCATTTGGAAATGGGCCAGAGATCAAGAATTCCTTGCTAAAATAATTAATATCAATTCAGATTAGAAAGGTTCACTACCTGCTTGAGAATGAAAGGAGAACATTCAAATGTGTTTTTAATGGTTCAGCCATCTCCTTTGATTGCATTATCGAGTATATCTCTGAATTCAATCAGTGGTACTCTTTCATTCCAGAATTATCCCATTTGTCCGTCCCGTGCGCTATGAAGACGTGCAACAGAAAGTGAAAACAGCCTTTGGCCAGCCACTGGACCTCCACTACATGAACAACGAGGTACAAAGCATTGTTATCAGTGCTCTCTCTGGACAACACTTTTTCCCATCCTGAATTCTGTACCCTTAAATTTAATTTTCAGTTTTTCCCTCCAATACAAACCATAGTTGAATCACTCTGCTCCAGAGGAAAACATGCTGATACTGACAAAACATCACACTGATGTGTGTATTGTACAAACATCAGCATCTTGCTTCCTTGTACTGGTATTGTTTGGGAGACTCTCTTGAGGAAGTAAAAAAAGGTATTTGAAGTATTTCGACTGTTGAAAGCAACTATTGCAGGCCTATATATATATATATATATATACACACACACACAGAGTCTGAGGACTGCAGGCAGTCCTAGAGTCATTTCTTCAGCTGCCCGATAGCAGAGTCAGGGTTGTTTGTGTTGTTTGACTGCTGACCAGCAGCAGCCATCCAGGCATTTGTAACACATTTACCTCCTGCTGGCTGCAACACTTTCTGCTTATCGCCCAGCTATTAAGCAAACAAGGGGAGTTAGAGAACAGGGGAGGCTCTTTGGTATGCGATGCTGTAGGGGGGCTGTGGGCACTGTAGTTGGTAAAAGAAAGTGTCATGGAGAATAGCATTTGTCTCTGAGGAACTGGGTAGTCTGTGTTAATAATCTGAAGTATTTTGTTGGCTTTCTCACTCTGGACACCATGGCTTTTCCTTGGTTTTTTTTGTTGTGGTGTTGCCCTCCCACCGTTCAGGACTGCATCCCTAATGAGAGAGATGCAAAACCCCGTTCACCAGTACAAGTTGGACAAAAATGAAAGGGGTTCTTCAGTGTTAATAACATTCACGTTTCGAGATGTGAGTGGGCTGTAGAATAGAGGGTGTCTGAGCATAATTTCCTGGGGTCTTACTAGCAAGTTTTAAATTCTTCTTTGATTCCCTCTTTCAGAGTCTTAATCTTCTTCGTATTAGTCTCTATCTGAAACTCAATTTTCACTTGATCGTCAGGTCTGGATTCATAAGTATGCTGAGACAATGTTCTCATCAGGGAGTCAGGGACCTGTCTCTGACTTGTTCTTTGCAAACAAATTCAGGTAGCAATTAGTATTTTTGTGGATGGGGCCTTAGAGAAATTTACATAGGGTCAGCCATTTCTCTGATGGCAGGGGAGGAAAACCTTGTTAAAAAGGACAGTAAGACACTGCTGTAATGAAGATTTGTGGAATAATTCAGCAATCAGAATCCTAACTTGTATTCTGATTTTTTTCTTTTTTTAATGTTTGTTTAAATACCTATTGTGGAAATACACTTATTTTTTCTGTCTTTTCTAATGATTTTTTTTTTCCTGTTCTTTATTTTGCAGCTATCTATTCCTTTGAAAAATCAAGATGACCTGGATAAAGCAGTAGATCTCTTAGACCGAAGCTCTAATGTGAAAAGCCTTAGAATATTATTGCTGTCTCAGGACAGAAACCATGTAGGTAACAACTTCTGTGACTGCAGCAAAATGAAGGTTTTTACCCTTAAGTCTCTGAAACATGATGGTAGCCTTATCTGAGAGTAACAGGGATTAGTAAAATCACTCTTCGCAGACACTTTGCTTTGGCTTAGCTATAGGTATCTCTCTCTCTTTTTTTTTTTTTTTTTTTTTCCCCTGGCTTCAGCAGCTGCTCAGGGACTAAAATATTGCAGCTTTTTAAGCTGTAATATGAAGGCCATTTTATATCAAGTACCCAATGACTGTATTCAGAAAACACTTCATGAGTTTGGTTTCCAGAGAACTTTTTTTACCTTTGATTAATAGCACAGTGTTGAAAGTGCATGTAATTATCTTGCCTTTAAAAAAGCACAGGTTGTCCTTGAAGACAAGCTATTAGCACTTTTTTCCTGGGTGAGAAGCCTGAGGACAGCTCCCAGTGATTTTTCAGTTCTGTAACCTAATGCATTGAATCCAGCCTTACCCTGTAGAAACTAAGTTGCTTTTAGCTAATAATGGTGTATTCACACCTAAGGTGAATTTGATTGTGTCCTGGTTCACTTTCCTATACCACAGGTGGCTGTGGCAGTGAGCATCAATGTAGTTTGCACTTTTCAGCAGAAAAGATCGTAACATGAGAAGCAAGTCTTTAAGTCAAGCTCCCAAAGCTGCCCGTTTTGGACAGTGAATTGAACTGCAAGCTGAAGAGGGCAAAAAGAGTCAGAAGTTTCCCTTATTCCTGATCTGTGACTGGAGAACTTTGCCACTCAACCAATGTCTTTTTTTCAGAATTAAGGTCATATAGCTTTTCAAGTCAGAGACCTTGATAGCTTAGATATTTTATTTGCAAATTACCAAATTCTCTTGAAGAGTGACAGAAAAAGCTGCTCTGTCTTGAAGGCTCTGTTGGTAGTAGCTTGTCAATCTTGAATGTTCATCGCTATTCAAGTTCTGCACGCTGTGAGCTCAAACTCTTGAAATAATCACACATGTAATTCTTGGAACTGTCAGGAGAACGTAAATATACTTCTTGCTATTTTTTAATTTGATAATCCATGTTAATAGAAATACAAAGACCTTCAGGAGTGTTAACAGTCCTTTCCCACATGACTGGATGCCAAAAGCTGGAAAGGTGTAGGAGGGGATGATGCTGTTCCTTGTCCTATGCCCTTTCCCTAAGCATTTGTTACTGGCTCTGAAGACAATACTTGGCAAGAAGGCCTTTGGTCTGACCTAGACTTTGGTCTGACTTTGTTCTGTGTTGTCAGGAAACAGTCTGTAAAAGGTGGCCTGAACTTTTGGTATAACACAGTAAAACAATCCTATTTTACAGCCCTCTATTAATTTCAGTGTCTTCGGACTGCAAACCAGATGTTAAATGATGCTATCTAAACTTTACATAAGCCACCTACAATAAACACTTAGTAATTCTCATCCCTACACCAGCCAGTACTGTGGTGGTGGCCTTTTATTAGCTGTTTTTTCCTCTTTTGCTCAAAGCAGAAACAAACAGCGAAGTCTTCAGTAAGTGCCACTGTTTCCCCCCCTCTCCTTCAACTTCCTCTTCAGCTCTGAGTTGCCTGACAGGAGAGCCCTACACGTGATAAAGCCAAAGCCCACAAGTCTGAAGGAGGTTTCTTGGCTGCATGATCTCATCCCACTGAGGGAGCGGGAAGCATTATTTTTCCTGAAGTACAGGATGCAGATTTTGTTTTGGTTGTGCTCTTTTCTTTTTCTGGGGATGGAAAGGTAATGCCATGGCTTTGGCACAAATATGTATATAAAACAAATTAACTTTACGACAGTAGCTGTGTGACTAGTACTGAGAGCCTGTGTTTGTGAATAGCGTTTATATTCATTTTCTTGTGCCTCTTTGTGGCTCATTTGTGCTTTCTTTTATCAAGCAGCTCACTTCTCTTGTCAGTCCTTTCTTTCTGTTTAGAAACTAATGGGAAGAACTGTTTAAGTTGAACACCTAGAGTACCAAAGCCAGGCTATCCACATAAATGGTGTGACTTCTGCACCCTTTATTCAGCTCCCATGAATCTCTTCATGGCACAGTTTATGTAATTTAAATCAGGCTCCCTCCTTACTCTGTGCAAGGGTAAGTGCTTATTAAATGAGCAACTATTTGATACAATACTTTTTGGATTGTGTGACCTCACACCTTGTTTGTCAGTCGTATTCAAATAGTTTTCAGAAGTCAGAATTAATTTCCTTGGGGTATCTTTGGTTCTGTTCATCTCAATAAAATAAGTTAACATTAGTTAAATTCTGTAACACACAAGAAGAAGGGAATATTATATCCTCTTGTAAAACTAGGTACTTTGGGACAAGAAGATTAAAATTGAAAGTGTCCACTAGTATTGAGAACTTGCTTTGACAGGCATAGGATCTCATTTGCTTGGGGGACGTTGGCAATTCACAGTATTTCAAATGTTCAGACCTTAGTGCACCATCCTCAGCTGGTGTCCTGTTCAGTCCCCTGTTAAGAGCCCATGTTCCCTGTATCATTCATGGAGAGAGCACAGAAGTGTCAGCTGCCTGGAGCTGCAGTCTAAATATTTCCAAGTGAGCACTCTCTGGAGTCTGAAGTGGCCTTGCAGTTTCTCATGGCAGAGCTGTGCATAACTGCTGCACAAGGAGGGCAACAGTTCCCCTGGAAGCATCCTACTGCCCTAAACTGCAAAACCACCCTGCAGTTGTTCTTCCTATGAAGCATGCTGGAGTTACCCTTTCTATCTTTCTCAACAAACTGGGGAGAAGTCCTTTGATGTGTCTCCTTTCATTCCTTTTCCTGCTTTGAATGAGATGAAGGCACTGTGGAAAAATGATCTTTAATTAGATTGTGTCTATGTAAGTTCAGGGAAGGATGAATAAAAGCAACACAGCATTCATCTTGGCATCTCCAAACTCTTTGTGCTCTTAAACTCTCTAGGATTTATTTTCACTTAGTCTGAATTGTCAGTTTACTTTTTGAAGATTGTGGGGAGTCAGGTTGCTCTCTTAACTGCTTCTGAAAGAGTGCAAGATTCATAATTTATCTTTGCTGGCCAAGGTGGCTGATAGAAAATGTAGGTTCTTCCATGTTCTGGTCTCAGTGACTGATAGAAGCCCCTTCTTGTTGGTTTCATAGGTAGCTGCTAATGGAAGACAAACATTGAGACTTGTAACTCCTGTATTTGATTTGAGGCTGGAGGGTAGCATGGTCTAGTTGTTCGACTCCTGTTTTACACCATAATTGTAAAGCTTGCTCTTTTGCTGCCTTTATTGTTTGTGTTCTGTGAAGTTAATAAGATTTCAGGCTCTAGAACTGTTTCTCAGCTACTTTCTTGCTACTAAACATTAATGATATTTTTAAAACTGTGGCCAGACTGCTTGAGCTCCTCAGTCTCATTTTTTTTTCCTTTTTTTTTTATTTTTTGTTATTTTATTTTACCCAACAGACCAGTTCTTCACCCCATTCTGGACTGCCCAAACAAGTCAGGATTAAAACTTCCCAATCTGTGGGGGATGTGAGCACACCCTATCAGCAGCCAGAACCCAGAAGTAGGCATCTGTCTGTCAGTGAGTATTTTTGCCACTTCTGCTTGTCTTTGTTTTGTGAAATGTATCTTTTGGGCCCTAGTGTTTATGGTATAGTGTTTGTGAAAGCCATAAGAAATTGAAAGGTTATTCTAGGACAAGGCAGTTCATTTTCAAAAGCTCTTAATATGTTTACAATAGAATGTTTCAACTACGAAGTTGTTGAACAGCTGAGGAGCTGCTAAAGGGGATGTCCTAAAGCCAGATTCATTGAGGTTAGAAATTTGGAAAGTTTATGTGAGTCCATTAAGCTTTTTATTTAGATTGGCAATTTCAGTTCATGAAACCTAGATTTGATTTTTTTTTTTTTTTTTTATGTTGGGCTTTGGAATCTGTCCTCATTCTGGTAACCAAGCATGTTACTAGTAGCACAGGAATTGCCACTGCATATCCAACCGGTGCCCTACATACTGAGCTCCCTAACCTTTCACTCTCTTAATTACCAGATGAGTAGAGCACAAGGCTAATACCATAGGTGACTGGCACAGCTGCACAAAAGATAATGAGAAAAGTCAGAGTGATATGTACCTTTGTCTTGTTTCCTTTGTGTTTCTCTTAGCTTAGTGAACTCATGTTTAGTGGAAAGGTCCATGTAAGACTCCTGTAATTTTTGACTTCTATCTCTGGTAGATTTGTGTGTGTCATCCCAATTTCTGTGTTACAACCCCCTGTATAACTATGCAGTACTATTTAAATCTGTGGTCAAAGGATGCTTGAAGCTGTTAACTTTTTATATAAAAAAACCCTAAAACATCTGAAACTGCTTCAAAGACTTATGGGCCCAAAACCAAAAAAGTCTGTGGTTTAGAATCTGGCTCCTTGGTGTTAAACTCAGTGAGCAGTGGAAGAGCAGGAAGAAGGTGAGCAATAATAGGGATCTGCAGAATGAAGGCTAGAGCCTTAGATGGTGGTCTGTGTAAATGACTTTTGCTTTAGAAGTGAGAATTGCTAAATTTTGCTGGAACAGAAGCAGGGGATGGCTGTGTTTGTTATAAAAGCTATTTCAGGGCTTGTCAGACCTAATGCTTCAGATGACAGGTGCTGCAAATCACGAGGGCAGTACTAGGAGCTGGGAATGTCAGAGCTGTTTTGTTTCCAAGTTCTAAACCAGCTCCCTCTGTGGAAGAGGAGTGCTTCAGTTTCACTAACTGTGTAAACTTGAGCCATAATCATCACAGAATTTTAGATCAGTATTTCCAAGGCAATCTTAGTGTCAAATAATAAATCCCATTAAACTAGCACAGACAGTCTCCATGTTGGGGGGGTCTAAACCAGAGTCACATCCATGCTGTTCTGACCAAAGGTAATTAGGAGAGTAAGCTCAGTAGAGAAGGACTTGAGAACTAGACCAGTAGTTCTTAATACTAGACTTGTCTAGCAAACCTGCTTGTATGCTGTCTAGAGTCTGCTGATCCCCTTTTGTACAGTTTGCTTTTATGAAGTAGCAAACAAAGTGCTGAAAGCTTGTGAAGTACGTGACTGAAACTGAGACAAAAAGAGTTTTCCCATCCTTTCTAGTTTGAAGTTAATGTGCATAAAAAGAGCAACATTCCTCGGTCCTGTGAAGAAGGCAGCAGTATCCATGCATGTCTGAATAAAACGTTTCTTTTTTCACAGACAAATTCAATGCCAAAAATATTTTATTTTAAAAATATATATCTTTCTCCTTTATTGGCATTCTAAGGTATCCAAATAATGATGCCAAAGCTAACAGACTGTACCGAGTGTCTGTCATGGGTAAACTGTATAGTAATAAGGGGCCCCTTCTGTATCCCAGTTGTACAGACTCTTTCCTCTTATCCCAGCTTATGGATGCTTTCTGATTAGCCTGTCATTCATCAATCAAGAAAGCATTGGTTTTATTTTCTGAACGTGTCAAAGTACCAGACTGTTACATTATTAAGAGGTCCAGAAGAGTTCCAGTTCTGTCATGGGTCTGATAGTAATTTGGCAATAGCTCAGTCTTGAAGCAATTTCTTCTTCCTTCTCTTTTCCTATCTTTGATTTGGAAAAGGAATGTACCCCTGTTTTCTAGCACTTCAGGCACAGAGACTTTCCTATTCATACTGTGTTGTGCAATGACAGTCGAAAGCAGCATTCACCAAAAGTTGTTTGCACGCAGGAGATGTATCTGTGTAGTTCCTGTCTTCTAAAGTGGACAGGCCTCGGGCCTGCTGTCACCAGTTCAGAGGTTTGGAAGTAAAAGATAACTTTTATTTAAAAAAAAAAAAAAAAAAAAAGTTGCTAAGCATTCTGGCAGCACTTGTGTTTTTTCCACTCACTTCCTTTGATATACATTGATTTAGTGCCGACTTCCTTTTCCTGCCCAGTGATGGTGGCCTTTCCACAATAGCGGCTGGGTCGATGCCAGCAGGATTTGGGCTCCCTTTGGCTAGCCATGGCATTGTATCGGAAAGAGTGAAAGTGTGCTCCCGTGACTCAGTACAGCCCCAAAGCACGCTCGCTTGTTTATCTCCACGCCAGTTGGCTTGTAATGTCACGTGAGCCCTGCAGAGCTACTTGGAAAATCAGGTGGTAGCTCTAAGCAATAGATTATTTTTTTTGCATGTAGTTAACCCCCCCCCATACACTCTAAAGCTATGCCAGCATTAGGGTTTTTTTTTCCTTCTGCAGTCCTCTGAAAGGTGCACGCACAGGTTTTCAGTTAGCTTCTGCCAGTGTTTGCCTTCACTCTTTATTAGAATAACTTCTGTAGAAAATATTTTCCTTGGGAGAGTATTTGCTGATCTTTACCCATCTTTCATAGCACCTGAGTACACACAGTTAATTAAAGACAGCATCATAAAGAGCACAGCTTGAGAGCTGATCTTAAAATGTTGTCTCTGAATTCATGGGTGACCTTGAGTAGATTGGCCGGACCACAGCATGTCTTGGAGCTCACAGTGTGACTTGGTGGGAGCTGCAGGTGGATAGGTCACTGCAAAAAGGGATTTTGTATCTTCCTGTTTCTGAAGTATCATCATCTTTGAGATCTGCAAGGAAAAAAAAGAAATCCTAGGGGTGAAGTTTCTCTCAGTAGGTAGCACAACAGAAACTCTTTAGGTAGTACCATTAACAGATGAGTAAAATGTTTTTCTCATCCTTTGGCCCCTAAATGTACTCTCTGTCCATCTATCTATCTCATCTAATGAACAGAAATTGCAGAATTGACCTCCATGTGTTTTCATCCAAACTAGTCATACAGTTTCATTTTTTACACAGTAAAATGGAAATTTTGGGGTTATTTACAAAGGTAACAGTACTCCCATGTGATACTGAAATTGCTCAGTGTTGGTATAATTAGCTCAGCTGATGATGACTAGCAGGGATTCACGCAAGGTGAATGATACTAGTTGAGGCAAACTTATAATCAAGATAGAAGATCAGTTGTCCTGACAAGTGTTTTGTTTAGTGGAGATTAGCAGTGAAGTGAAGTTCATGTATAAAAAACAGGAATTCCTGGAGTCATCTGCCTTCCTTGAGGTACTGAAATTATGCTTAGAAGATTGAGCAGAAGAGGTTAGAAATAGGTAACTGCTCTGTTAGGAGCTTCACCAATAATCCTGTAGTGTCTAAAATGACAGTACAGGTCCTCACTGAACGATTTACTTTTTGACATGGCACCTCCTGGTTCCATTCCTGTCCAGACTGCAAGGTTGACTCCAGAGTTGCTGTGATCATAGAGGTCTAGCATTAGAGGTGAATATTTGGATTTTGTGTACATGTATGTGCAGTCTCATTTCAGTAAGCATAAATATAAAAAATGTCCTTCTTTCTGGCCCAGGTTCCCAGAACACAGGCCGAAGTTCACCACCTCCTGGGTATGTTCCAGAGAGGCAACAGCGCATTGCTCGGCAGGGTTCCTACACCAGCATAAATAGCGAAGGCGAATTCATCCCAGAAACCAATGAACAGTGTGTAAGTATGAGCAGTAGGGTGAAAAAAAAGTAAGTCCACCTGTTAAGGAACTCTCTGCTGCTCTCTGGGCCTTCTTTTTCACTCCAGAATATTCACTAGCTGTAGTTGCAGTGGCACCTACTAGTACTGCTTTGTTCATTTAAACTTTGCTTCAAACTTGTTCGTAGTTGTGTAAGTTCAAAGCCTTTGTTGGACTGCCAGAAGCAGTTACCACGCATATTGGGCATTCTCTCTCCACCTCCGAATGAGTGATTTTGGTGCACGTTACACATGTATGCTTAGGTTTCCTATTACCAGGTTCGTGTGACCCTCTTGCATTTGAAACTGATCTCTCCATTCAAAAAAGTAGGAAGTAAGGCCAAAGGGCGACTTGCAGGTGGAGGCAGCAATGCAGTAGCACCAACAGAAACACTGTTCCTGAAGTCAGCTGGGATCAAAATGCAGCACAAGGGTGACTTAAACTTTCATTTTTCACAGCAGAGTCCTTCGACACCTAAAGCAACATCTCAGATTTGATATGTTCTTAACAGTTTCTGTGGGAGATAAAGGAAAAATGTACATTCTAAATAGCTTTAGACTCCCCTCTTCACCTGGACGTCCTCCAGGCAAGCAGTATTGGACTCTGATCCTCTTGCACAGCCTCTTTCAGGCATTAGACTGAACTGATGTTGCCATGTGATTTCTTCTGCATTGCAGATGCTGGACCCTTTAAGCAGTGCTGAAAACTCGGTGTCAGGAAGCTGTCAGTCCTTGGACAGGTCAGCAGACAGGTATAAATGTACAAGCTGGTAGGAACTTATGTGCTCAAATTGAAATGCCAGTTGTACTTATGCAAAAGTTTTCCATGTCATAAATTTTCTTGGAGAGAAAGAGGAACTTATTTCCTACCTATATCCCAATATATTTCTTCAAGAGAATTAACTATGTCTTAAGGCTGTTTTATTTTCTGGCAAAACCATACGCCAACAAACTGGTGCTTCAGTAGCTGTATGTTATAAATACAAAGTTCTAAAGCGTGCCATCTGTGTGGAGCCTAGACTCTAAGAACATCTGGCTGCAGGGTATTTAAATCTCTTTTAGACAAGGCTCTACTTGTTCGTTTAAAAAAAAAAAAACCAACCCATTCTAAGCTTACAGAAATATATCATTACACTAGTTTCCCATGTCCTGCAAGATATAATATTAATTCCAAAGGTAAATAGAGGGGCTTTTCCTTTGGTGAAGATTTTGTCGTAGTCTGATGCTCTAGATATTTTTCTTCCCTTTCTTTGCTGTTGGTGTTGCTTGAGGTGTTGGTGGGCACTCGTAGGTCCTATTAACTTGAATAGCAACTATGGCTTCCCAGCACCTGTAATATTGTGCTTCAGCATGTTTTTAAGATTCCAACAAGCTGATTCCTCTGTGCTTTTATGTCAAGCACTTGAGGCTTGGTTTTGTAGCCAGTTACTTCCTCCGGCTGTCACAAGGGAGTCACAAGGACGCACTTACAGTTAACCTGTGTGAATGCATGCATTCCTTTGGGGGTGAGGATTGCTAATTTGTTACCTGTCCTCTCCCCTTTCCCTGCCCTAAGTGGAGGACGGGGGGGGGGAAGAAGCCTTCCCAGTTATTCCTTGTAGGAGTGGGCATCATCTGGGGAAGCTGTTGTTCTTTGTGTAGTAGGAAAGGAATCTCATTTGAGAGTCTGAAAGCTGTATGAGGCTCGCTCCGTTTACACTGGTTAACAAAAAAAAAAAAGTGCAAATAATATGGCTTTGGCACAGATTGAGTTCATGTAATCTCTTAAGAGAGATGTTAAAGGCCTTCTGCCAAACAAGGGGCCATACTTAGGCTTGCCGGAGGAGCCCTGCTTACTGGGGAGAAACGCAAGGGATCAGTGTTAAAAGCAATGTTCATGTTTATGCTCATCTGCTGCTGGTAGAGAGGAAAGTGCACAGAAGCTTTCATGAGAGGAGCTCTCACCGCTCATGGTAAACTACTTAGGACAGTGGTCCCCATTCTCTACTGCCCTGTGAGCAACGTGCTGCAAGTGGTACCCAGTTCTGCTCTTCCTCTTAGCCTTGATTTTAACCTTCCACTTCACATGGCTGAAGGAAGCACACTGTCTCAAACCAGAGGTTGGGGAACCTCTGAATAAGTGCCACAAGCTGAACAGAAAGGATGACTGCCCACATTGGGAAATAGTTGGTTAGCTGGGACTTAGCCTGACTTCAGCTTTGTAGATGTAGCATGAAATTATTGCAGGGACGTGGATTTGAGAATCACCATTACTGATGTATAAATACATTAGCTTGTATTTAAAGTCCTTGTAGGTTTCACTCCAGTAGATAGCAAAACTTACTCTTCCCTTCTTTCTTTAATAGTCCTTCTTTTCGGAAGTCAAGGATGTCAAGGGCACAAAGCTTTCCTGATAATAGACAGGAGTTCTCAGGTATGTCAGTGTCCAGTATAAAGATTATTTGATCCAGACATTTTCTGCTGTTTGCTGGCTATCCTCCATGCTTGCTGGGATTGTATAAATAGAAGAACTGGGGATACATTGATTGAAAAGTTATGAAGTTATTTATTACCTCTTCCTAAAACCCACTGTTGTTACAGGAAAATTCTGTCATTAGAACATATACTTTTTGAAAGAGCCTCAGTTCTCTCTTTGCATCTCCTTCCAGACCGTGAGAATCAGATCTATGACAAAGCGGGGAAAGGTGGGACTTACCCTCGGCGCTACAATGTCTCCATGCAACACAAAGACTACAACGATGGTGAGTTGTTTTCAGACCTTCAATTCCAGGCTTGAAAAAGCAGGTGAGGCAATGGCAAACTCCATGGGTGAGCGTAACTCCTAGCTGAAGAGTCTGGAATTGCCCTGGTCCTTGCAGTTAGTGCCAGAGTTAATGCTACCATGCATGATGCCACATTTTCATAGCATTCCACGACAGCTGTTTGTAATTCTTTGTTTACTTTGTCCTTTTGGGGGATATCCAGGCTGATCAGTGACTGCTAGGGTTGAGCAGTGGACATAGTTATTATTAGCCTTGGTCATATATAGCGGGTTGCTACCTCGGGGTTTTGTTACGCTTTGCTAATTCACAATGCAAACTTGCTTCTGGGTCTTCTAAATATACCAGTGACTTAAAGAATCACATCTCTGCTCATCAGATGGCTTTATGCAAATTAATTTCTCAATGTTTCATAAGAGGTACAAGTTGTCGTAATCTTTGTTTTATGGTTTTTATTTGCAAGTCCAGGCACGTTATCTAGAAAGTCATTCTGTCTGTGTAGTTGTTAACAAGCCTCAGAGCTTGTGTGGTAGCCTGTAAACCAGATTTTTGCTTTGGAAGGCAAGCTTAGATCTTGCACTACTGCACTGAGGGCATTGCAAAGTGTTCTCTCCCTTCTACTTTGGGAATGATCCAAAGCTGTACTGAACTCAAGCAGCATCAGCCGTGAGCTGTTATATTTTTGCATCTTGTCTGCTTGGCAGTAGATTCTACTCCATGGGAACAGACCAGAATACATTTTTTTTTCCTCTCCCTTCTCTTCGTTGCTCAACCTCCAGCCATCACCTTCCACTTGTAAGCATGTTATTTAAAAATTTTACTTTTTTCTCCAGGCCGGAGGACATTTCCCCGGATACGGCGTCACCAAGGGAATCTTTTCACCTTGGTCCCTTCAAGTCGTTCCTTAAGCACCAACGGAGAAAACCTGGGCCTGGCATTGCAGTACCTGGACCCCCGGGGGCGCCTGCGGAGTGCTGACAGTGAAAATGCCCTTGGTGTCCAGGAGAGGAACATTCCCACCAAATGTGAGCAGTCACCCTGATGATAACTGGGGAAAAGCCTCCTGGGGTTATGGGCAAGAAAGGCTTTTAGAGATGAACTCCGGACCAAATATATTACCATAGCTTGATTTTTAACAAGCCATTCAAAACCACATAATTACATGGCTGTGTTTTGAGACCAGTCTGTCTCACCTAAAAGAGAGGTCCTCTTTTTCTTTTAAGAATATGTAGCCTTGCACTGGGAGCTGGCCTTTCCTTTAGAAAGCATTAGAAATTCAGCTAAGAAGTAAAAAAACCTTTAAGCTGATTGGATCTAGATGATCTACAGGGTTCTTAAAACAGTCAGACAAGCTTGTTTATTTTCTTGATACATTCATGTTTGTAGTCAGGCTTGTGGATTACAGTTATTTCACTAGTTAAGGGCGATATATATTTCACTTGCTCCTTAGTAGAAAGATTTACTTCTGTATTAATCGCATCCCTGAGTTGCTTTTTGGGCAACTTTATAATATAAAAAAAAGAAATGGAACCTAAATCATTACTGATGAACTTCAGATATCCCATACAGTAACCTAAGGATCAAAATGAAGACATTAATGCAGCAGAGTAAGCAACACACTAAAACACTGACTGGCAGTAAATCTGATTAAATTAGACATGGCAAAGCTAATCTCTCAACTCTTCTGTATTTTCACACTGTCCAGATGGCTGGTTCCTGTCTTTGTTTTTAGAGTTTCTCGTTAGATACAGCGTAATTGGATGCACTGCACTCCATGAGTCTGGTAGTGTCGTTTTCAAAGTTAGAGCTAAAGCACTGGTCTTTGAGTAATACGCTTTGGCATTAAGTGCAGTCTGGAAAACTGGGCTCAGGTGTTAAATCTCCGGGTCAGGAGACTGCTGCTTGTGCAATGTGCTCGCCAGTGCAGTAGAACAATGAGAACTCATAATTCCCTGCTGACGTAACCTCCTGCTGGGATATTGGAGGTGGCTGCTTTAGCTGGTTCTCATGTGTATTTTTATTAGAGCCTGATTGTTCAGCAGGTAAAGAAGATAACCCGCACTGTGCTTACATTATTGCCCCTACCTTATCACTGTCTAGTAGGGACATGATGTAGGGAATTGATGACTTCTAATTTCTCTGCTGTAGAGATAGCCTTGCAGTGAAATCCTTCCCCCAGGAGAAGGAACCCCAAACTAACCAATGGTTGGCAAAGAACTCAGAATTGATGTCCTTCAAGTTGCCCCAGAAGCTTAACAGTCATTCCTAGCTGGGTGGGATTGATTTAGCAAGGCTGATCCAGCTCTTCTTCATCTAATGCACGTAGTAACTACAGATCAAGGGTTGGAAGATGCTGTTTAATTGCTACGCCATCTCTTAAGATAGCGATGTTGTAGAATCCACCCTGCTGGTGGAATGAAATTTCATCAACCTCATCGAATAACTTGTCTGTAGTATATCTTTGCAAAATGTTTTCTGGTTTCATTTTAATGGGACACCAGTCAGCAGGGCCTGAGAGTCTGAATGGTTGGATTCTGTTCAGAGAGCTGCCACTAACTCCCTTATACTGGGAGAGTGCTTCGTGTCTGTTTCTTCAACCGCAAGATACCTGTTTCAATCCCAGTATGATGAAGATTGATCTTTGAAAAGATCACAATTATCTTTAAATAGTATCATGAGAAGAGAAATTATTACTGTTCCTTTTTTAGCTCCGAGTGCTCCAATAAACTGGCGACGAGGAAAACTGCTGGGCCAGGGTGCCTTTGGTCGTGTGTATTTGTGCTATGATGTGGACACGGGCAGAGAGCTTGCAGCTAAGCAGGTCCAGTTTGATCCAGAGAGTCCTGAAACAAGCAAGGTAATTCTCATTGCAGCTTCTAAAATTCTGTAAGATCCTGTAAAGTGCCTGTATCTGTCCTTGAACGCTGGCATCTTATTTAGTTTATACTAGGGTTTCCAGTCATGTGGAGAGGAATAGGAGTCATTTAAAAATTACTTTTCCGTATTATTAACTTCAGCCTGAAACTAAAATCCATTTTCTGGCTTCATTTTTGGCTCTCCTTTCTCAGCTTTTTGGTTTGTTGCCAGGTTACTTGAGGAATACTAGACTGCCCTGTGTTCCTGGTTAGACATGGATGTGAATGAAACTAAACCCAGAAAGAGTAGGACTTTTTTCTTCTTTAAACAAAAAAAGCTGCGTGCACTTGCAAAACCCACTTTCTGGGCTTATATAGTAGGCCCTGTATCAAGTGTATTAATTACTGGTTTCCACTTCTGAATTCTCCCTGTCGTCAAAATAAACCGACCTGTGGTGTGTAAATTAATCAAGAACAGTGATGTGACGACACATGAGAAACAGTGGAGATGGGAAGGGGCACCTTGAAATTATAGGATAACAGAAGACTGCCTGCACAGTGAATACAGCTAGAATGGTTGTAAGGTTCTTTGCTAGTGTTTTAACAATGTACCAGTTTCCCAACATTGAACAAATTCACTTTGAGCTGGAATAACTGATCTGTGAAGATTTAATTATTCTAATTTTATATGGGATATTGGTGCCAAGATATGCCCTAACTTGGTAAGTTCTAAGTTATACCATGTCTCTGCTATAAATCAGACAGCTAACTCTGAGCCAAGGAAGAACAGGCTGGAACGTATTTTGAAGGCACTGAAACTCCAAGCCTTAAACTATCAGTTGGCCCGATTAAGCAACTTCCTCTGGTTCCATGCATCTCTGCAGCAGCCAGGTCCTTGCTCTTGAGGAGCTGCGTCCTCTCCCAGAGCAAGAGAAGTGAACCTGGCACCTTCCAGTGGCAGGAATGGAGAGAGTTAAGTGAAGACTAATTTGGGGGAAACCATCATTCCTTTTTCCATAAACCCTCGTGCTCAAGTACCTTTGATGTTCCTCCTGTTCATTCCCTGGATTCAGCAAGAACCTGATACTTTTTGTGGGCAACAGACATCTCTGATTCAGTTTGAAATTGTTGGATAGCCTTTTTGTCTTTGCACTATGATACCCTGTTGTCTGTGGCAAGAATAAAGCAGAGAATCAGTTTCATGTGCATAGCTGCAGATTTTTTGAAGTAAATGAGAGGAAGCCATTTCTAAGGTTGATTAAAGTAAAATCATGAGCGTCAGTCAGAACAGGACTGGGTGACAAAAGAAGTTTAGGAACTCTTAGCCCCTGTAGTCCTGCTCTCTAGTGGGTTGAGGTTCCTACAGAAAGATTTCTAGCAATTCTGCAACTGCGTATTCAGAGCTTTTTCATAATTGAAATTAACACTCGCTGCCCTCAGCTTAATGGTGAGAAGTAAGGTTATATCTGTGTTGTGTGTGAAGAATGCTTTCAACCAACTTGGGTAAAGCCATGCAGCTGACAGAATCAAGGCAAGAAAAAGTTTTTCTGGTACTAAATCCATATATAATACTGCCTGTGTTCTATCAAAGCTTCTGCACCAGTACTTACCTGCCTGTTACACAGTAAGGATTAACATGAGGCATTGGTAATGTTTGCCTTTTCCAAGAAGTAGGTGAACCAATGCCATGGATTAGACTTCTTCAGTGTAGTAGTGGTTTCATCCTACCAGTGACATGGACAAATTTATTAGGATGGAATATTTCCTGGAACCGGAACCTTATTTTCTCCTTCAACATCCATAGGAAGTGAGTGCCCTGGAGTGTGAAATTCAGCTGCTGAAGAATCTCCAGCACGAACGTATTGTTCAGTATTACGGCTGCTTACGGGATCGAGCAGAGAAGACATTAACCATCTTCATGGAGTACATGCCAGGGGTAAGAGCTGACACAAGCAGCACAATCACAGATCTTAAAGTGAGATGGGTGGGTTTGTTAGTTGGTTTATTAGTTGCTGTGATTACCCTAACTATGTAATCCACCTTATACTCTCTTTGGTGTGCCCCTTTCTCATACTGGGTTATAATGCCACCACTTTCTTTTAATTTATGCCCAAATCACCTCTTTGGGTTTTTTTTCTTAAGTGTCTTGTACTTGAAATACATTTTCTTCATTAGTCACTAAAGCCGGTTCTCTTCTTCAGTCTAAATTTGTTCTGCCAAAGGACTTGGCCCAACTTGTAAATCAGGTTAACTGAATTAGCAGAGTCATATAGTACAGCAAATTAGGCTAAAACTGACCCTGCAAAAAGGGAGGCTTTTGACCCGGATCAGTCTACTGAACTATTTCATTGCTTGTCTTCACAAACAGTTGTACCAGCACAGCTCAAGGATGGAGGAAACAGACAGAACCTCCTTAAGCTATTTTTGCTGTAAAGCATGGCCTTGCTTTTCTTAAAAGGGGCTTCTTTGGGCAAGATGTTCTGAGCGCCTCACAAAAAGGCTTTAGAAGAGGCAAGAATTCATTACTGTGCCGGCTGGGTGTATAAAACGGTCACAGCTCGTGGGAATTGAATGGAGACTGCAAGATTTGTGGTTTGTCATTTCTTTGCCAATCCTTTCTGTTTGCTTTTGGTGCAGGGGTCAGTGAAAGACCAGCTGAAGGCGTATGGCGCTCTCACGGAAAATGTAACCCGGAAATACACTCGCCAGATTCTTGAGGGAGTCTCGTACCTTCACAGCAACATGATTGTGCACAGGGACATAAAGGGTGAGATCAGCTGATGATTTATGTATATACCACTTGCTAAAGGAACTCTGAAAGATGATGACAAGTGTTAAGAATTCAGCATCCTGGCTGGGGCTTCTGAACATTGCTTTGCTGAGTTATCCCTTTTTGGTCTTACATCCATGTGCAGGGCTTAGGGAAGGTCATGTTCTGGGCTGGGTATGGGAAGTTGGGCTGTTCTCCCTACAGGACCCAAGAGCATGGCCGTTTGGTTATGGTAAGAAAGACTGGAAGCCTCTAATTCTTAGGAACACTCCTCTGTAACTCCTCATCTTTCTCTCACAGCCCAGCAAAATGAGGCTGAGTGGCCACCTGACTTTCACTGCCCCCCTGAGGCACGTTCATTTCCCTGTGGATTCCCTTCTGATTTCCTCTCTGCTTGGCCAAAGTAGTGTTTCTCAGGTGGTAGGCATACCAATTGCCATAAGAGCTCCATGCCTGCTCTTGACAATCGTGCTTACCTCAGGTTCTTGTGACTGTCCTGCCTCCTCTGTGTAAGAAACCTCCAATCTTCCATGTAGAGCCTCTGATTAGTCCTTAATCTTCCTCTTACCGGTATAACCCCATGGAGCCAGCCAGTCTCCTTAAGAATTAATGTCAACAGATGTGGCAGACACCGCACAAATTTTTCTGTGCTCTAGAGGGACCAGGAGGGTTGCTGGCTGCAGGAAAAATACTCTCTTGTTCCTGCCTATAAATCTTCATTGCATCCCCCCTAGGCTGGCAAAGGGAAATGAGCTGCTGATTCTTGAATAACACCTTGTATGCTGCTCATGTGGTGCTCTTTACCAAATGATTTCCTACCTGGTGAGTTATTCACTAGTTTGCACCCATCTAAGCCAAACTGTTAACTTGCCTCCAGGGTGCTGGATGGACTTGTTACGCTGAGTTCAGCTCTTCAGTGGGGAAGTGAAGTGATAAAGCTATGTCCCAACACAAGTGCATTTTATTTGAGGGCAGAAGGATTTCACATAAGCACGTACCAGATAATAGCAACACAGGTTTCTTAATCTTATTGCGGCTTTGAAGGAAGACTTTTTTTTGGTGTCTAAGCCTTAGTTTGTGTCCACATTCAAGCTAAGCGCTTAAGCTTTGCTTTTTTCCCTGGTGTTTTGTGTTCAGGACATCTGACCAAGTAAAGTGGAGATGGACTTGTTTATTGTAGGAGTTCAAAGTGGTTTAACTAGCTACATCTGTTACCCAGCTGACCAGAAAGCAATGGTTATACTACACAGCTATGTACTATCTAAGCCATTGGCCTGGGGGCCCTGCATAGGCTGAGCTGTTTACAGGCAGTGTAACAATGACGGTGCTGACTCAGCTCTCATTTCCCTTCCCCCTTCACTTCCTTGTGTTTTTCCCCTGAAGTTTTTCCCATTTGCAGCCATTAGCATTTGGCTTGTCTACAGCCTGAATTAAAGAAATGATGTTTAGCAGGTCACCTGAGGCTTAATGGGGAAAAAGCCATACCATGAGCATGGGTATTTCTGGGTTGGATATCAGCTCTGTAGGCTGCAGATCCAACAGCTGGATTGCATGAAAACAGCTGTCTCCATTCTTTGTTTTTTGTCCAGGAGCCAATATTCTCCGTGACTCTGCTGGGAATGTGAAGCTTGGGGACTTTGGGGCCAGCAAACGGCTGCAGACAATCTGTATGTCTGGAACAGGCATCCGCTCTGTCACTGGCACGCCATATTGGATGAGCCCAGAGGTGATCAGCGGAGAAGGCTATGGAAGAAAAGCGGATGTATGGTGAGGCTTTAACTTTCTGTCCATAGATCAATTTACAGCTTTTCTGGAGCGAGATAAGACATATACATTCTGTCGTCCATATATCCAAAAGCAGATTTTGTCTGGATCAAAAGTTTAAGGCGAACTGAAGTAGTTGATTTGAACTCAAGACATGACCTGCTGGAGGCTGTGCTTTGCAATGTCAACACACAACTGCTAGTTTAGTTTTTCAGGAACAATTCCCACTCGTTCCTCCCTCAAACTGATAGCTGATTTTCTGTTTTCTGACTGGTGCGAGGTTTCCATCCTTTAATATACCTTGTAAGAGAGACTGAAGGTTGTTTAGGGAGAGTCCATTCATTTGATTATAAGATGAGAGGTATGCTTATAACACACTGGAAATGAAAGGAATAGAATTTGAGCTTTAAAGGAAGGATGCCCAAACCTGGAATAACACAAAAGATACAGGTCAGATCAGAGGTGATCTCAAGTATGCATGAATGGAAACTGTAGCCATGCTATTATTGGCATAGCCAAGAAACAGCCTCTATCAAACGGAAAGAGCAAAATGGTCCTGTGTCAAAATGTTGATTTTGGAGGCTTTAAAAAGGTGAGATTATAAAACTAAACTAAATGACAGCAACAAAAGGTATGTTTGTCTCTCCACAGTAAAGCAAGGCCTATGCTATTTCCTGTACAAGCAGTGAGTGGAAACATAGCTGAAACGTGTCTCGTATGCAAAGAGTTAAGTTCTGCAGACTCTCCCAGTTGGGATGCTGGGGGAGAGAATGGAGCACGTGCCCTTCCCCCGGGTTGATGCAGTTGTGGATTTCCTCTTGGTGCTGACATCGGTCCATTCCCATCAAAGAGATGCTGCTGTTGGCTAGGCTCCAGTTCCTACAATCCTGATCATTATTTAGGGGGGGTCAGAATTTTCCAGTGCAGCGTTAGTCCCAGGGTGGACGCGTATGGCCGAGAGGCTCAAAGACGTAACAAATCTATCCACCTGGCTTTCTGCCACTGCTGCAGGCCCCTCTCCAATTTTCTTTTTCCTAAATAGCAGAATATGTGAGCTATTTGTTATTGCTGGAGTGACTTGACATGAAAAACATTCCTGCTGTTTGCTGAATATCTTAAAGAAACCGGATCTGCTAAAACGGTATAAATCAGTCTAAACAATAATATATCCCTGCTTGCTCTTGAGCAAACCCCCAGCACTTCAGCACACATGGTTTGCATTTTCTGTACTCTCTTCTAGTAAGTCTTAAATGGCTGGAAACCAGTGTAAAATTTTCACGTTGGATTTTAAACCTTGTCAAGAAGTCATTTCTTGCATATTCACTGGATTTAATTCCTTTCCTTCCTCATCTTGGCAATTGATGCAAGTCTGCCTCTGAAAATGTCTTTTCTTTGCTTTTCACTTCAAAAGAGGGTTTAGTTTAAAGGTAGAAGAGGCAGTTTTGCCTTTTTAATGGAACGATGTGATCAAAACACAGGACTTGATAGGAGAAGTTCACTAACTGCTTCTGCTTAATCTGTGGCCTGGAGGAAGCAATTAATCCTTTTTGAACAAAAACCAATCACTGCAGTACTAGAGAAACCCATCTTCCCTGTGAAAGTATTGGTGTCACGCTTGCTTCAGAAAGGTGGCTCAGCCGTGTCTGTCCCCATAATCACATTCTTGCCTTGAAGTAGCCTGCAGAGCCCCATTAACTTTACTAGGAGTGTTTTGCCTTAATTGATGTATCTGCCCTACTGGCGTTTTAACTTACTGCCTTCTCAGTTTGGAGCTGTTAAGACTTTAATTATTTTTTGACTGTCTACAGTGCTTGGTTTCTTGCGAAGTGGAGATATTAGGGGGTTTTTTCCCACGTGGGCATTCTGAGGCTGTACACTGAAAAGGGATTTTGCTGAAATGGCTTTGTGGGGTCAACCAGCTCTGATTCACTGGACCTTGGTTAAAAAGTATGTTTTCTACTTTGCAACTCAGCAAGTGCCTTTGAGATGTAACAGTAGCAGCAGCACCCAAAATACCACTGAGGTCAAACGACACCTTCAGGCACATCTCGTGTGCACCTCTTGTCCCCTGTTGTTAATGCAGATGTTTACTGAGTAGAATTTGAGCTAAGGAGAGCCAGACAGATGACACTTCACAGTTTTTGGTGCAGTAAGAACCACAGTGGAAACCAGCCTCCCTGTCTCAGCACTTTACTGCTAGCCTGACAGTAGTAAAAGCAGCAACGTTGGCAGGTCTGGCTCAGAATCTGTGCACACATGGGGTTTGCTGAGCACAAAGCCATTTTATAGCTGTTTTCAGAGCAGAGCTGTACCTTGATGTTGGCTGCTTGGAAGTTCTCTCTGAACACTGTGCATTATTGTGTGAGTCAATTCTCACTTTTTTCCTGTCTCCTTTTCCAGGAGCCTCGGGTGTACTGTTGTGGAAATGCTGACAGAGAAACCACCCTGGGCAGAGTACGAAGCCATGGCAGCCATTTTCAAAATCGCCACCCAACCAACCAACCCCCAGCTCCCCTCCCACATATCAGAACATTGCCGGGACTTTCTAAAGCAGATCTTTGTGGAAGCCAGGCACAGACCCTCTGCTGAAGAGCTGCTCAGACATCAGTTTGCACAGCTCCAGTACTGAATTACCTCCCTTGCTAGCAGCTCCTGCTGGGCTTTCAGTGCCCCGTCTGGTCTAGTTGCAACTGCCCGTTGTGGTGCTGCATCTTCAAAATGCCAACTCAGCTGTCCTAGTCCTTTGGGGAAATTATGCCAAGGAACCTAGGGTCTGCTCTTGTGCCTGATACCTTTGTTTGCTGGACTAATGTTTATTCTACCGACAGCTGTCTAAACAGAGCTGCATTTTTTGCCCTAGTTACCTTGATGTGAGATTGCAGCTGGCTGCATGTTTTCTGTAGGCCCAAGAATGGGAATATAAGAAGTGTCTCATTGAACATAGAAGAAATCTGAACCAAGGTGGGAACTGGAAGAGCTACACTCTTCAGAACAGAAACGTGCAACAGCCATCCAGACCAGCTCTCTACGTGTGGGTCGCTGTTGTCCAGACTGCTAGGGCTTTAGAGGCATCTATAGTACATGAATCCAGCAAAAAGCCATGTGTCATTGAGCATGCGCTCGCTATATAATTATATATTTTTCTTCTTAAGTATTCAGCATCTGAAGGTGTTCAGAAAATATTGATTCAAAAGTATGTGAATAGTGTTATTTTATAATGAAACCATGGATTTTGGGATGGGGGTGAGGGAGGTCTTTCTAGCTAAATGTCAGGATAATCAGAAAAGTTTCAGCAGAATGCAGTCACTCCAGGGCCTAAGATAAGGGCTCTCCCACTGATGTTAGAAAATCCAGAGCTTGATTTCCAAGGCTTGATCTGTCCTAGCATTAAGACAGTGTCGGTTAGTTTGTGTCCTCAATAGCCAACAAATCTGTGCTCCTGCTTCATCTCCCTGGGACTGCTGGGTCTAAACAAAACCCTTCTCGAAGGGAGTTCTGCAGAACAGCTTTCTGTTGCACCTATTTTTTTGGCTGGTAACTTTTTACCATCCTTTAAACCAAAGATGGTTCATCTGGTGCCCAGGAATTTACTTCAGGAAAAGCTTATGTGTTTCTTTGAGGACGTGGCCTAATGGAAAATCGAGTTTTTCATGGGGAGAATTTGCTGGACACTAGTTTTACTTGTGCACAGTAAGTTAGAATCAAGCTCGACCCTTCAGTGTGTGTGTTTTGTTTTACAGGTGCGCAAGTGTTCATTTAAGATTTCCATAAAATGTTATGGCCCTATTTAAATAAGCTTTTGTACGAGTTAAGTCAAACAGTGAACCAGAGAGAACATTTGTAATGCTAGCATATTTTTTAAATTAACTGGAGATTCCCATGCAGGTACCAGCAAAATGCATCCAAGTGTTTTTGCCTTTGAAAGGTACCACGTCTCTGAGAACTGAGTTCCTGATGGCTTACTGGCCTCAAATACTGTATGTTGATTGGGGCACTAATAGTCCTTACTTTACTCATAAAAGACTAGCAGTTTTTAAGTGCTGGGGATTCATGGAGTAATTATAAGTTATCTGTGTGAAATTAAACTAAGAAAAGCAAATGTATTATTAGCTAAAATACTGTTCTATAGAGCAACGCTAAAGTTGTTCTGCTCTTGTATTGGAAACCGTATTAAGGCTCCACATACCTCCACTCTTCTCCCCCATAAAAACTTGAAAATTGCTTTCATAATGCAGTAAAATTAACAGCTTTTAAGTGAATGCTAATAGCAGGATAAGGCAAGTTTTAATGAAACCAAGCTCCTTGAACACATGAGAAATATTGTGTTGAATTAAAAGAGGAAAAAAAGAACCCTAAAAAACCCCAAACGACCAAAAGCCCTGAAAGAGTTTAACAATCTGAAGTTTTTTCTGTGCCAAACTCAGAGCAATGTGTAATCAGTGAAAGCAAGCTAATGGTTTCACTTTCAGGCTCTCCTGCACTACTACAAAGATGCACTGTTGAGGTTGCAGGCACTTAGGGGGATATCTTTTATGAAAGCCCTTGTTCCGTAATTTATTTAATTCTAGTGAGAGCACTTCTATTGATCTTTTCCAAACCTGGAACTTGACTCCAAATTGTCAAGACACATGGCCTGATTTTTGGCCTTCACTTCACTGTCGCTTGCACCGAAGGGAAGCGAGGGCATGACACTTCTACTCTGTTTTAGGGAGCATTTTACACCACTTTGCTGTCTGTGGTGTAAACGGCTGTGTATGCTGCAGAGGAATGTGAAATCATTCCTGTAGTCTTGATGACAGAAGTAGGGTGGTCAGCACTCCTGTGGGGCCTGGTAGCACTCTTCAAGCCTTGCAGCTAGCACCTAAATATACCAAAGATTGGAATCTTCTATTCATCACACTTTACCCTGCAGACGTACAGCCAGCAACCAAGAGTGCAGTGATCCTGTCTGCATAGATTTCTCTCTACCCTTGGCTTGTCCTCAACAAACTGAGACCTTTTTCCATGGTCTTTCCTTGCTATCCCACACATTGTGTTTTGGGAGAGAATAGGGCATGAGGAGATGGTGTAACTCTTAATGTTTCAAAGCAACTAAATCCTCAGGATCTGTTGTGGCTTTTACCTCATACGTGTCATGGAAGGCTGTTCCAGAGCAGAGCAAAGAGCATCGTGGACTGATGGGCTCAGTCCTCTCCCCACCAGAGCTTCTGGTCCTTCCTACCACCTATGCTGAAATGTGCCTACTCTGTGTATACACTTGTATTCCAGTCTGTATTAATGGAAGTAAATAGCAATTGTACAGTGACAGAGAACATGGGGTGCCATCTTGGATTTCTTGTATTCCAGTACCTGACCCAATGCCACCCGTTCGGCACAGGAACAAGCCAAAGCATTACTTGTATGTTTGGAGATGCACTTTTATGAATGTAGTTTATATCGCTCTTTTTTAGCTCTTTTTACATCATGTAAACGGTGATGCCTCATACTTTTTTTTTTTTATTTATATCGTAAAAGATCATATTTGGTGATTTTTATATATATCGACTCGACTGTTACGGGGTAGGGGGGAGGATGGGAAATAAATTTGACGCCTTTATGAATTTAAAAAGGAAAAAAAGCAGCTGGTTTTGCAGAGAATTTGCTGATGGTTTATAACGAGTAGAGCCAAGCCAAAATGCTTTCTTTGTTTCCTCACAGCCCTCTTGATTATGGAAAAGGAAGATCTGGATTCTTAAGTCCACTGCTGTGGTGATTAAGCTTGGGGCTGACACTTATACTACAGTCTCTTAGCACGGCCCTGGCAGCAAAAAAGTTTCAAGTGGACATAAATGTAATTATACTTCTAAATTGAATTACATCTGGCCTCTTTATCCTGGCAGAATTGGAAAAAAATGGGAATAAACTCATTTAGGGGACAGTGGAGGAGGAGTGCCAGGCTAACAATAAGCTATTGTGTCCATTCCAGATGTCATGTTGTGTTTTCTGCTATTCCTTCCAGGGAGGGCTATATAGTGAATATTGAGTATTGGGATCCTTGATGGAAGGTGCTGCAGAAATGGAGAATACTCTGTCTGAAGAAAAATATCTTGTAGGAGTCCCATTATTCTGAAACAGTTGAAGCTGAGCAGGAAAATGTCTGAGATTCCCATCAGAGAGGAACTTGGGGGGAATGGGGAATTTGGCTGTCCCTGAGCTTGTTAGGAAACAAACTATTGGCATTTTGGTCTCGGTGTGACGATTCTGTGCATTCCAGGTTATTTGCTTGTTCTCCAGTAAATCTGATCTTTGCCTATTCTAGTGGTGATAGCTTGCAGCAATTTGGATTTTTTTCATATTTTTTTGATTAGTATTCCAATGGACTTGAAGAAGCTCCAAACAGTTCCCTTAGCCATTAATTACCAAAACAAATTGACCAAGAGGGAAATTGGTACCTGCTCAGGTGATACATGTTATTTCCAGGTGCCCAGAAAGCCAGGATAACTTGTGAAACCTCAGTAAATATATATTCCTGCTGTATACACTTTCTCTAGTAGGCAAAGGCCAGATACTTAGAGCTGTACCGGGGGGGCTGAATGAGATCCCAGTGATTGGTGCTTAGGTTAATAGCTGCTGGATGGAAAGGTTTTATATATTTGAATATGTACGGTCCTGTGGCTGTCACCTTGGTACCTGCCCGTGGAGCTGGGAGCGTTCAGTCTGTCTTTAATTTTCAGAATAAAATAGATGTCCTCTGTGGTTTAATGGTGTTTGGGCTTCAGGTCTTTAAACCCCAGCCTTGTTTAGGAGCAAATCTGACTAAGAGCTCTGAATTTCCCAGTTAGAAAACGTAGATGTGCCTAGGGGGGCAGTTCAGAAATGAGGAAAAGGACTTTAATAACTATCAATACCTGTCTGACATAAACTGTGCAGAGCAGGGAGAAATTGCTTTAACCTGGATTGTGCAGAAGACCTTGAACCAGTAGTCTATATATACCGACCGGGGGCTTGCAGTGCAAAGCCAGGCCATTGTATCGTTTTATTTACAATAAAATTATCATTTATATGAAAGCCTTTTTGGTGGTTGTTTGTGATACAGTGTCTCTTATTTCCTGTATGAGTGGTGCCTCGAGATAAGTGAGTAAGACAATTAACTAGTTTTCCTTCTAACCAAGGACCTTAACTGAAGGAGGAAATTTTTCCTTTCAGGAGTTTATTCTTTAGGACAGGTGGAGAAGCGTCCAATTCGTGAAGCATTGCTTCTTGGATCAGGTTAAGTGTGTGTCCTCCACAAGGCTGCCCCTGAGGAAGGTCATATTCATTCATTTTCACTCTTCAAAGAGAGAGGTAGAATGGCTCCCGTCTGTCTTGTTAATGTGTAAAAATAGGAACATCTTCATTTCACCTTGCAGGAGAGTAGCTGTGACTGGTTTATTGGCACTTCATGTGGAGATTGTACTGATGGAGAGCAGGAGCTGAGGTTTGCATTTGGATTCAGCTGTGGTGGTGAGTTCTTTACTCCAGGTCTTGGTCTGTAAATGTTCTTGATTTTTCAGTGTTTAGCAGGGTAGATTGTCATCAGGTGGGGAGAAGGCAGTTGGTAACATGACCAGGAGGAGATGGTTAGTATGATAATGTCTGATTCCCTGCTGTGTTTCGCTCCAGCTGGGAACTCTATAGGGAATAACCCAGAGTAGCTTGCTAAGTGGGGTACGCCAGGTCTAGCTTGTGAAGCTCAGGCTCCTTGAAAACACATTTATTCTAAATACCTGGAAACAGTTAAAGGTTCCTGAACTGTTTCTCCTTTGAATGTGTTGTCCAGTCCTTTTAGAAAGCAGAAATTTGGAGAAGAAAGGCCTCTGGACTTCAGACAAATGTGAGATATCATGAGCTCCCTTCCAGAACTGAAGCCTCCCAGCAGAAGTGGAGGAAACCAGGTAGTCTTGCATTGAGCATACTCGGGATTTGGGACAGGATAAGCTTCGCTGTCCCAGAGTACGCCAAGGGAATGGGTAACCGCATTTCCAAATATTTTCAGGCTTTTTTTTTTTCCAGCATACTATCTTAGGAAAGGACAGAAATAGTGCTCCTATAAAATTCATCTACACTACTTGCTGAAATGCTCATTTTTTCCTGGTACTGCTGGATCTGTTTATGCAGCTCCTAGTCTTCAGTGTCACAGTCACTTAAGCAGTGGTTTGAATGCCACCATGGTCCCTTGAGATGCCGGCCTCCCTGGGCCCTAACCACAACCTTCCCTGTAATCACCTTTTCCCAGGCCATGGTATAGCTTGTTGCTATGTCAACTTGATACCAAAATATTTGTTAATGTAAAATATGAGCAAATAAGAATAAATGGGTTAACAAGCTGATGCAATAGAAACCACTGCACATGAAACAAGTACATGCGTGGCGCTTGTGTGCTGTTCCAGAACAGATGAGAACCAGACAAGTGAAGTTGTCCCAGAACAAAAATGTCTTGTGGAACCAGAAATAACCACTCCTGCTATGTCCTGACACCCTCCTTGTGTGCATTAGAACCTGAAAATCCCCTTTGCTAAAGGAGGAACTTGGAAACTCTTGGTTACCTTTACTCAAGGAGGTCCTTCCCAAAGCTGATGCCTTCATCCTCCTTTCCACTCGGTGTGTTCAGGGGTAACGTTTGCATTGTGAACATGAGATTCACATCTTACACTTTTATGATGGCATGTTTTCTCCTGGACTCCCTTCCTACTCCCTCCTCTCAAAAATAAGTAGCTCTATAGTAATTCTGCTTTCCATAAATACATAGTGTGTGGTCCTGACTTGAATCCTCACCATGCCTGTCTGTAAGTGGTGGTTGAGCAGGGGCTGGGAGAGGAATATGGAGGCTTGGGTTGAAGGTTAGAAATGATCAGCCACAAAACACTGACCAATGCACAAAAGAAATGCAGCTAAAAACCTCTACTGCCTTTTTTATTTCCGATAATTTGTGTTATGCATAGTGTAGCTGAGGGGAAGGTGGCTAAAGGTGTGTTTTCCTCTCCAAGTCCAGTTCTGAAGCAAATATAATTTAAAATCTCCAAAGAGGTTGGCTATGCTACACTACTGTGGCTCTTTCTATTAGGGTAGTAAAGTCTAAACTAGGAACAATGTCTTCTGGATTTAATATTGCTTGGGTGTGGGTGTGTTGCATTATATTCAGGAAATGCTGGCACGGTTAGCTGTCATGTCACTTGTTCTTCTGTTGTTGATCTCTGCCTAGTGCTCTGTGTCTTGTCCAAAACTGGACATCTGGATGGTATGGATGTATATGGATTCTTGCTGATTTTTTCCCCAAACAGTTTTTATTACGTGAATCTGTTGGCTTGAATTTTTAGGCTCCGTAAATGTCCTTTCTGGAGCTAAAAGGCAGGTTGGTAACAGAAGCCTCGTGCTTGCATGGAAATGCAAAAGAAAGTTGTGGTGTGTGTAATACAAAAAAAAAAAAAAGGTTATTTGTTGCTCCTCAGTTGCATTGTTTCTTCAGTGGCAAGACCAGATCTGCGCTTTGGAGCAGAGGAAGCGCAGGTGGCGGT